TTTTGGAAGACCAAACAAAGTAGTTTCGCTTTCACAACGAAACACACAGCGCCTTCACGACATGGCGGCGGCGGCAACAACAATACTACAGCGAGAATAACGCTGTACGCCTTCTTTCTTTGCGTGAACATTTGGGCGGCGTTATGCAAATCTTCCCAGATAGTGACGTAGACACGTGTTAGAACGAGTCGTTTTAGGTAGGTGTGGCTGACTCTTAACTTTTATAAAGAATATCTCTTTGGATTTGAGACTTTAGTCTTTGCAACTTTACAGATCTTCTTTATGCACCAAGTGCTTGTAACACTCCAAAGAGAAAGGAAAAATTTTAATTGCATCATATGACCCCTTTAATGGCTGTCTAAAATAGAAAACAGTTTTTTCAAACATTAATAATAAAAATAATTCACAATATTTTTTTTATGAATAAAATAAAACATTGATGAACAGAAGGATGAATTTCAAACTTTGGAATGGTAGTGTAAAAAAAATTGCATATCTCTCAAATATCAAAAAGAATAATCAAATAAAAACACATCTAACCTTCGATGTCTTATCTCCTTTGAAATATTCCAGAGCTTCATAGAGGTGACTGTAAGGTCTAGAACGCTTGCCCTTTCCAACATAGAAAACAGCACTGATGAACGTCTGAAAACATTCTTTAGGATTCATGGACTGACTTCGATATGGTAGATTCTTTGTCACCCTATAAAGCAGCAGTAGGGAAATAAATGTTATTAAACAATAAAAAGAAACAGTCATTGTCCAAATAATGGCAACACAATGTGAGAGAAACCATGTACCGTGGGTCAAGCAGCAGGTAGTTAAAGCTGGATTTAATGAAACCCTCACGCCATCTCTTATTCTGATCTGGCTTATCAAACTGCTCACACAGAGCGAGCTCATCTGCTTGACAATTAGGAAGTACGAATCTGTGAAGCCCATTTTCGAGTTCTGGGCTGTAACCTGCAACTGAGAAAGAAATAATTGATCTTTAAACAGAAAGAAGCATGACACTTATATGCTATCACTGATCTTCTACTCTTTTATCAGAGGAACTCAACTAGAGAGGCCAAAATCACCTTTCAATTAGCTGTCATCTTCAAATACGATACACAATATTAGGCTAGTTTGATATTAATTTTCATGATAAATAGTTCATGTTTATGTTGTAAGTTAGAATGGCAACTTGCCATTGTATGAGATACAAAATTAAAAGATTATTTATTCATGTGACTTTTGAGGGCCAACTACACATTTGTAACTAGGCATGTTTGGGGCCTCAAAATAAAAGCTAATGGACCACGTGGCCACCTGTTGAGTACCTTAGCTATATGTAATTCATTAATGCTTTATATTTTGGCAGGGGCAGTTCTAGGGTGAGTGGATATCTGGGGCTTAGCCCAGAGACATTAATGAATGTATCAGAATACACGGGTTACACTTCAAATAAAACAGGCAATGTTGAAAGTTCAAATGGCAAAGTGGCTTAATTTTTTTTTTTATTAATTATTATTTGCACTTAAAAAATTGCATAAATAATATTATGAGATTAATGTTTTAAATATAAAATTTAGAACACAAAAAAATGAAACGATAGAAAAAATAGAATACTTTTAAAACATAAGACTAAAATTAGCAGTAGGTGGCAGCAAGCCACTGTCTTAAAGACTGAGTTGTTGAGTCATTTATTCAATCGATTAGTTCAAAACGGCTGATTCATTCAGGAATGAAGTAAGAAACTGTTTTTTTATGAATGAGTCAGTGAATCACTGATTCAACATGTTCAAACAAGGCTAATTCATTCAGTGACGAAACTGCTGTGTGCA